ATTTTAGCACTACTGACCCATCTGGGGAGCCTATCAGATTCTTGCGCTTTTCAGCTAAAATGTCTATCTGTGATAATCGAGTTGCAAAGTTCAAGGTTCGTTCAATGTCAAGGTTTTTCTGGAGGTTACAATGTTTGATTTGAATGTCTTTGTGTCACAACCTCTGATTGGCCTCTATTGTTCACGTGTCTGCGTTAAAGGAAATAACATAGCTATAAGTTCAGGGAATTGCAGACAAGTCTAGCAACATCTAGATGTTGTAAAACTCGCGTTCGTTGCTTCAGGAACATGTATACAACCATATTTCAAGGTGGACATAAAATTAAATCTTGTGATTTCATTGCGGTGTAAGGAGAGAAAAATATTATCTACAAAAAAATAGCCCACACATTTATTGTGTTTGATACAGGAATTAATCAATGGTTTAATTAGACTGCGAAAATTTGTTATGATATCGCACTTTAAATCTCAAGAAACTCGAAATTCTGCTTGGACAGAATGGCCATAAAATTAACAGAATGATCAAGGAAATTTGTGATGATATCTCAAACTTCTAGCTTTAAAAAAATGTGATAGAATGAACAAGAAATGCATCAAATGAAAATAAAACTTGTGAAAGAATTTGACCATCTGTGTCATCCCTCCTTTTTAATCATCACTGAATCCAGACATAAGAAAGAAAGAGAGAGAGAGAGAGAGAGAGAGAGTTTAACATCCACAGGACACAAACACATTCATTTCAGGATTAACATATGGTATAGATTTTTTAAGCATACATTATGCAAGAGCTAAATCTGCCTATTGTAGAGAGAGAGAGAGAGAGAGAGAGAGAGAGAGATGGGGTTTAACATCCACTCAACACAAACCAGGTCATTTCAGGACTAACACACAGTTCAATTTTATTTCAATAATTCGCTTGTGCGCAGTGGTCTTTAACAGTGGGAGGAAAACGGAGGACCCAGAGAAAACCCACATGGTAAGTCAGGCGACCCTACTCCTTGTCACATTCAACTAGGGAATCGAAACCACGCCAGTTGACTTAATGACAGACCTTATGATAGAATGCACTAACCATTCGGCCATCCATCACCCACCCCGAAACAGACAAGGATGTACTGATTGAATAAAAATTTGTATATAAATCCGATCATCTGATTTTTTAGTATTCATGTATTGTCATGAATAGAGAGAAAGATGCATTGGCTGAAAATAAAACTAGTGAATGATTCAAAGCCTTGTCGCTATCCATTTTATTCATCATTAATTCCAACAATGTTACGTCACTAGTCACACAATCACGGAGACTGAGAGCATGTTCATTCGTACCTCTTGTGGCCAGGCACTGCATTTTACCAAATTAGATATTGATTTTGATGCAGGAGTTTGAAAAGGTCAATTTTCTTGCATCAATCTGTAGGAAATATTGGATCATGACTCGTGGCTGGCTCTCAACGTATGTTCTACTTTATCTCTATAACTTCATTTCTTGTCACACATTCTCTCTCTCTCAATAGACTTCAAATATAAATTTCAAATTAAAAATCTAGAGACCTATACAATTTATTCCACTTGCAATTTAAATGCATGCATGGGAATTCTCTCTCAATAGACTTCAAATATATTTTCCAAATCAAAAATCTAAAAAACCCAAGGACATTCTATGTTTATTAAAATAAAATAGAGAGAGAGAGATGGAGTTTAACATTTACCCAACACCAACTAGGTCATTTCAGGACTAACATATGGTTCAGATTTATTTCAATAATTCACTCGCATACAGGTGTCTTTAGCAGTGTGAGGAAATCACAAAGACCTGTCTCCACTAACACCAGAATCGAATCTGATAATAAAGTCCCTAAACTCAACCATTTCTAACATGTTTAAACCAACATAACCTCACAGAAACAACAGGTTTTCAACATTGATTTGTATAAAATAAGAGAGAGAGAGAGAGAGAGAGAGAGATGGGGATTAACATCCATTCAACACAAACTAGATCATGTCAATAATTCTCTTGTGCGTAGTAATCTTTAACAGTAGGAAACCGGAGAAAATCCCCAAGGTTGGACAGGCAACCCTACTCCTTGTCACGTACAAGCGGTGAATCGAAACCATGCCACTTGACCCAATAACAGACCTTATGATCCAACGTGAACGCGTTTACCATTCGGGCACACAACCCCCCCTTCTCGAAACGAAATGAAATGTTGTTAAACCTCCTACTTTTCTGCACCGACAGGGCTAAAGAACAGGAATATCAGAACACGTTCATCATTATTTAAGAAAAATTTAAAAACTCACGAATTCTAAATTTTCCTTGGTAATACATCATTTTAATTTATGCATAGTAAAGATAGTTTATGAATAAATGAAATTGATATGATTTTAAGTTGAGTTCAATGTTCACCTATGTATGTCTTATTTGTATTTTAATTTATTTATTATATTTAATTTCTGTACCATATTTTGTAATGAAAGTTGTAAATATGTACAATAATAATAATAAATTGTGATTTCATTGGACATTTAAACATATGTACGACAACAGATGACTCTACACAACAAACAGATTGACTCTACACGACAAACAGATGACTCTACACAACAAACATACTGACTCTACACAACAAACAGGTGACTCTACACAACAAACAGATAGCTACACGACAAATACCGGTTGATGGACTAAGCTTTAAGCTTATTCTCAATGTCAGAAAAATTACAAAATGGTGTAAGTGTCTATGTTAATTATAACACATATTTATGGAAGGAAAATAATAATTTATTTTGGTCATGTTTTGAGGAGTATTTTTGCTTGAAAACGTTGCGAAAGTTCCCTTCGAAATGTCGCCCAAATATGTGTTTGTTTAGTGTAATAATTGCCTTGGGGAAAATCCCCCGGGATCACATTTTGACTCACAATGCTTATAGCCCAAACAATATGAATTTGGTTTAGTCAGACATGAAAACAAATTAGCAATTGTTCTTCCATAAGTATGTATTATTATGTAGACATAGGATACTAATTTCCCTCCTCGATGGAAAATTTTATCTTGTAGACTGCACAGTAAGAAGATAACTTGTCAAATCATATCAATCCATCAAAAGGGATTTACTTCAAGACTAAAAGAGAGAGAGAGAGAAATGGGGTTTAACGTCCCCTCGACACAAACTAGGTCATTTCGGGACTAACATATGGTTTAATTTTATTTCAATAATTCGCTTGCGCGTAGGGGTCTTTAGCAGTGGGAGGAAACCGGAGGACCCGGAGAAAACCCACGAGGTTGGACAGGCGACCCTACTCCTTGCCACGTACAACCGGGGATTCGAACCACGCCAGTCGACTCAATGACAGACTTTATGATACAGCGCGGGCACGCTAACCATTCAGCCATCCAACCCCCCCTCAAGACTAAAAACAGCCCCCACAATAAAAAAAAGGCCCCAAACTATGTGAGAACATTAACATTTTTCAGAGACTCTGAGTCTGCCAAGCTATATCTCTGTATCACCCCTCTGACTTCAATAATGACAATTTTAGTTGGTTTTCTGGACATAAGCCAAAGAGTTACAAAACAATAAAAAACCTCAATAGCATTAATTCATTATATAGCATTAGTAGTATATAAAAAAATATATATATTTGTATACTTACATATTAACGAGTCACCCAATAACAGTCAGTTTTAATGAATATATATTGTATATTAACCATGGTATATACAGACATGTATTATACAGTGTCGCAACATTTCCATGGTGATCACTAGTTTTCTATAAAAGGGTGTGGTTGTATAACAGATGTATCTAGTCCTACCCTAATGCTTTGATCTCTCCATATAATATATATCATAAACTATTAACGTTTATATCAATGATATATAAGACACCATTAGCTCTCTTAACAAGGATATATAATATACATGTATATAAAATATGATATACACACCATTAATTAATATTGTAGCAATAATTCATCTTGAAATACGTCAAAGATAAATTTCTTATTGCCAGACCAATGTCCAGAAAGAAAATGAAAAGGGGTTTAACTCTTCTGCAATGACCAGAAAGGGATAAGACTAAGGTCTAGAAAAGGATAAGACCAAGGTCCAGAAAGGGGTAAGACCAAGGTTCAGACAGGGGTAACCAACATTCAGAAAGGAAGATCAACAACCTGAAAGAGGTAAGAGCAAGATCCAGAATGGGGTAAAGAAAGGAGGCAAGATCACCGTCCTGAAAGGGGTAAGACCAATGTCAAGAAAGGGGTTTAAAGGAGTGTGGGGGATGTAAACCCATTTCTTGTTGACCATGAAACTATGTCTACAATAATTTTACACCTCTTTACATTGGTGTCTGCTATTCTTCCTTTATTACCTTAGTGTGTGGTAGTGTGGAATTTGCCCTTTATTGGTATATCTGGTTGTGTGGTGTTTTCCCTTTTTTTTACCTTAGTGTGTATGGTAGTGTGTCATTTGCCTTTTATTACCGTGGTAGTGTGTGTGGTAGTATGTCATTTGCAATTTTTTTACCTTGATGTGTGTGGTAGTGTGCCATTTGCCTTTTATTACCTTGGTGTGAGGTATTAGCCCTTTATTACCTTGGTTTGTGTGGTAGTGTGACTTTTTCTCTTTTTTTTACCTTGGTACATGTATGTGGTTGTGCTATCTCATTTTAAAAAGTTATTATTTCATATTAAAAATTATTTTATATCAAAATCAATTATTTTATATCTAAATCTATTATTTTATATCAAAATCTATTATTTTATATCAAAATCTATTATATCAAAATCTATTATTTTATATCAAAATCTATTATTTTATATCAAAATCTATTATTTTATATCAAAATCTATTATATCAAAATCTATTATTTTATATCAAAATCTATTATTTTATATCAAAATCTATCTCATTTTAATTTATAATCTATCTCATTTAAAGTAAAATCTATCTCATTTTAAAATCTTATTATTTATATGAAAAATCTATCTTTCTTACCATCATTTTGACTGGTTCACAAATTCCACGATCACATGATTCAATATTTCTCTTGATTTAGGATTACCTCCACCTAATGTCCAACTATTCAATTGCTCTCCTAAGATGTTTCCCTGACCGGAAGACAATCCCTTTTACATCTCTATCCAAATTCCTGTATATCTGACGGAGAACAACAATCAACTATCTCCACGGAAGTCCTTATTACCAGTTTTCCTGTTCCTGGATGAAATTAAACCAAATACGTTAATTATTCAAGCACGTAAGTATTATAGGTATTGTTTGTATCTCACGACTGAAGACGTGATAATTATACTAGAACAACCAATATACCATAATTACAATAGGTGTGAACAACCAGTACTAACATAGTTTATCAAAACTTGTTTATTTGTGCACAGATGAGTATAGGTTTGAATGAAATTTAGATGAAGAGCAATATTATTTGACGTCTTATGTCTCCCACGCTGTTTAACTATGATCAATATTTCGTTAAGAAATTCATAAATCAATGTGCTTGTGCACATTCATTTCTACTTTCTCTGAAGCCACAGTCCAACCAATCTATTCCAGCTTCTGTAATCCAAGTTCAAACAATAGCTCCAGTTATCTTCCACCCCAGTTACTGTAATCCAAGTTCAGATAATAGCTCCAGCTATCTTCCACCCTAGCTACTGTAACCCAAGTTCAAACAATAGCTCCCATTATCTTCCACCCTAGCTACTGTAATCCAAGTTCAAAAAATAGCTCCGGTTATCTTCCACCCCAGATTCTGTAAGCCAAGTGCAAACAATCGCTATATATAGTTATCTATATATGTTATCTTCTACCAAGAAATTCCTAACAATAGCTCCAAATGAGACTAACATATGGTTCAATATTTTTTCAATAATTCGCTCGAGCATAGAAGTCTTTAGCAGTCTGAGGAAACCGGAGGACCCGGAGAAAACCCACGATGTTAGACAGGTGACCCTACTCCTTATCACATACACCCATAGATCAAAACCATGTCAGTTGCTCAATAAGAGACCTTCGGATCTAAAGCACATGTTTAGCATGCATCCACCCCCTACATACCCACTCTCCTAAGTCTGAAGAGATGACTATATAGTGGTATGTGATGTGCATATAATATCCGGGTATGCTTCCCTTTTTTTTAGAACACCTGGTGCCCCTTATCATCAATTCAGGAAATTCATTTGTAATTTCTAAATACACTAATCAAACTTACCATGAATATTAACAATCAAACATCAAAATTGGACCAATTTAACGTATTTCAATCTGTTTCTCAATCAATTACTCTCAATACAATCTCTCGTCTTCCGTTCAATTAGAATTACTCCCAACACAATCACTTATCTTCCGTTCAATTAGAATTACTCCCAACACAATCTCTCCTCTTCCGTCCAGTTAGAATTACTCCCAACACAATCTCTCCTCTTCCGTCCAGTTAGAATTACTCCCAACACAATCTCTCCTCTTCTGTTCAATTAGAAGTACTCCTAACACAATCTCTCCTCTTCTGTTCAATTAGAAGTACTCCTAACACAATCTCTTCCGTTGAGTTAGAATCACTCTCAACAGAATCTCTTCCGTTCAGTTAGAATCACTCCCAATAAGTTGAGTAAGAATTACTCCCAACACAATCTCTTCTCTTGAGTTGAAATTACTCCTCAACATTTAGTTGAGTTAGAATTACTTCAACACAAAATCTCTCTTCTCTGTTTGGTTTACAGTTTTTTTTTACATCCATGGAATCTTGTCTCTCTTCTTATTGGTCACAAAACACAGCCATTAACACAAACACTGCCATTGGCAGACAAATTACACATCATGAGTTATCTATATCAATATGTCAAGCAGTAACTCGCTCGTATCACAAAATATCTCATTTTCTTGTAAGCTACTTTCAGAAACAACAAAAAACGACTTGATGTTGTAGAAATCTATTATTTGTCTGAGAGTTAAATGGTTGTACACATTTTCTCATAGCTGCTTTCAGAAACAACAAAATAACGACTTGATTTGTACAAATCTGTTTTTTGTCTGTGAATCTATTGGTTGTACAACACCACACTGTGACCTCCCTTGAACAATGAACACACACTGACTGGCAGACGGAGACAAATGAAATTAGATCTTCATCACAGAGCAAATTCTTTCCCAAATATATTTCTTTTTCACCAACTGACATATAAACAACCGTTTTGTAGAAATCTGTAATTTTTTTCCTGGGTGTCTATCAGTTATGTAACGGATTTTCGGGGCTCTCTTATCATTCACAACAATAACAGATCAATGACATGTTCCAATTTAGTCATATACAAAAAACAAACTGAACACTGTTAAGTTGAAATCTGTAATTTTTCCCGTTGGGTCTAAAAACTCCAATTAGTTACGATAAACACATAAGCAGTGATCGGTTACTATTCAGTCACACACAAACATTAGTCACAAAACCAAACTGAAAGACTATAGTAGACATCTGTAATTTTTCCTCTGGTCTCTGTTACGTAACAGAACCTCTCTCAGCTCTCTGATCATAAAATAACTAACCTGTTACGATTTAGTCGCACACAAACACACTAAACAATTAGTCACAAAACCGAATTGAATGACTTGAGTAGACATCAGTAATTCTTCTCCTGGTCTATATCGGTTACATAACAGAATTTTAAGCACTCTGATCAGACAGTGATCTGCAGACCATCAAATGAGTTACAAAAACACAAAACAATAAAACTTACCAGTTATATATATATTGTGGTAGAACCCAAAAAACGAACTGAACAACTGTTTAGTAGAAATCTGTAATATTTCCCCTGATGTCTCTTGTTGGTTACATAACAGAATCTCTGTCAGCTCTCTGAACAACACAAAATAAATAACCTATGATATCTTGTGATTTAGTCACCTATAAAAACTCAACTGTTTTGTAGAAATGTGTATTAATTTGTCCATGAGTCTAATGTTAGCATAACACACTGGACGCTAACCCCTCTAACTCTCTCACATCCTGACATACTGAAGGACAAATCAGTTCCAATATAATATTGATTTACTTCTGGTAGTTGTATACAGACAGACCATGTCTTGTATTCCTCTATAAGATATTGACCAACTTATTCAATAAAAGGGGTGTATATAACCATCCACAAATTCATAATATTTACAGCTATTTCTTGTATTATCATACATCAGATATTGTCCAACTCATTTAATAAGGGAGGTGAAGGGGGGAGGGGTGTGGGGGGTGGGAGGGTGTGGGTTTACCGTATTCATTGACAAATATCCATCATCTCATGTTTATGGACATGCTTTGAGAGAGAGATAATGGACAATCTCTTGTATTTATTTTTTGAATCCAATTTAACAGTTCAAATAGGTTTAAACAAACCATTAGTAGATTTATACTATTACACTTTTACCATACATGTAAATATTACTTCTTTATATTTTATTTTATCTTCTCAGAAAGAGAGAGAGAAAGAGAGAGAGAGAGAGAGAGAGAGAGAGAGAGATAAACATTATTATGCAAGAGCTAAATCTGCTAGGTCTTTCTTTAGGCCTGAAATGTTATATAAACTATTAATTAGACATCAATTAACTTATTCAGATGTCATCGCTAGCCTGAGATGTTTATTGGATTAGGTTCCGATTTGCTGTTCGACTTCCATTCATGATTTAATCATGAAATGGATAATTGAGACTATGTTTTTTATTGTACTGACTTTAGAAATGATGATCGAGTCTAGGCCGAAAATTCAATCGCTAAAATCTTGGTTCGAATGGGATCAACTTGACTGAAATTTTCAGCATATTCCCTTTAGATTATCTAGTTTTTAACTATTATAGTGAGAACTGCCAGCTCTTTATCTAATCTCCCATATTGTATCTTTAATAAATTGTTGTGCCTCTTTGCAGTGGGAGGAAACTGGAGGATGTGGAGAAAACCCATAAGGTTGGACAGGCGACCCTATACCCTGTTATATGACCTTATGATCTAAAATTGAAATGAAATGAAATTGGCTTTAATGTCCTACTTGGCCAATGAAGATGGGCATATACCATGCAGTGGGCTATGAGAGGAATTTCGCCTGGACATCAGAGCTATGGCCTACTCTTATTTCAAATTCCAAATGTCAAGGGTTCTTTTACGTGCATGCCAATGTAAAGTATACAGGGCCCAGATTTTTTCATCCCATCTGAATAATTATAGGTTGTCCCTTGCCAGACCTTCCGTCCTACATCACTGACATGGGGAACCACGCTGGAAAATCATAATGAACTTTTTTTGTCCAACATCGGGAACGAATGCGTGAAGAAATAAAACATATAATTTGTTTTCTTTTACCCAAAACAAGATAACAAAACAGTTGATATCTGCTGGAATGAAATGTAGAGAGAGATTGAAGACAAGAGTTGGGTTTCACAAATACAGACACATTTGTCAATCTCAAGTAATTGGTTAGGAAATAAAATCCTGATAGATACAAAAATTAAATGAACTGGCGTTTAAAATACTATTTTTCTCCTCCATTCCGGATAATGAAGCTTGTCATTTGAATAAATGTCTAAATAATAATTCATACAAGATGATTAGTCATCACCATCCCGTGCCCTTGTTTGGAAGGAAAAACAACATCTTGGAATATCAATGGGACTAGTCAGAAGATTCACACTCTGATCACAGTAGCTCAGCAAGGCATGGTCACTACTAGCTGTAAGGTTTGCACAACAACCTTTGCCTACCTCAAGAGAGAGAAATGGGATTTCACTTCTGCTCGACTCAAACTAGGTCATTTCGGGACTAACATATGGTTCAATTTTATTTCAATAATTTGCTTGCAGTAGGAATCTTAAACAGTGGGAGAAAACCTGAGGACTTGGAGAAATCCCACAAGATTGGACAGGCGACCATACTCCTTGTCACGTATATCGATCAGTTAACTCAATGACAGACCTTACGATACAGTGCGCACACACTAACCATTCGGCCATCCACCCTCCTGCCTACCTCAATCAGCTGCTGTATGTTAAACATTAAGCTTCTACATCAAAAAATAAAATACTATAATAGTTTGATGTTTATACAAAGTTTCAAAAAAATTTCTTGAAAAGGTAATGAAATATGCTCCAGAAATGAAATCGGGACGGAATAGGGTGATGAATGTAAAAGTGTTATAAAGGTATCTTAAACAGTTTCTGACGTATGCTCTAGAATAATAACTATATACCAACAAGAGCATCACTTACGCTTCAATATACGTCCACATTCCTGCTTTTATTGTCATGGTACGTTTCAAAAGGAAGAGCATGAAATTATTAAATCCCAGAAATTCCAAATTTGGATGGCCAAATGGGGGGCATTTACTAGACAATTTCATACAGATCAGATTATAATCTTGTCCTTTGAATGTTAACAAGGTGCTACAAACTGAAACAAGGGCTTTAACTCTGGAAGTAATATACAAAGATAGGTTGCCAGGCAACGTAACATATGCCCACAGCATGTCCGGGCAGTCAACAAGAGTGGTCACATTTTTTTACTTTTTTCGGTAATGAAACATTTACAATACACTAAAATCTGATTAAGAGTAACAACTCATTAAGGAATTATCAGAAAATCATTAGAATTTGTTTGGCTTTTATAAGGTACATTTAATATCATGGATTTAGCTGTTCAAATTATCAAAATTCATTGAAAATCAATATACGTGTCTTAAAACCCCCGGTGATATTGAACTGGTTTAAAAATAAGCGTCTAAACGGGGTATTAAACTCTGTGTATCAATCTAAAGTCAACCGGATGATAACTTTAGCCTCTAGAGCGTCCACAAGATTTTTTGAATTGATCAAGGGCCATAACTCTGGCAGTAACTATCAGAAATCGCTGAAAATCAATAGGCTTCTTCGTCTTATGACCTTAACCACTGTGTATAAATTTAAAGTCAATCGGATATTAACTTAGGCCTCTAGAGCTTCCGCAAGATTTTTTGAAGTGATCAAGGTTCATAACTCTGACAGTAATTATCGGAAATCGCTGAAAATCAATAGGCTTCTTTGTCTATTGACCTTAAACACTGTGTATAAATTTCAAGTTAATCGGATATTAACTTTATCCTCTAGAGTGTCCACAAGCAATTGTGGACGCCTGACAGACAGGGGTGACGACAATATACAACCACATTTCAATGTGGTCATATAAAAATTGTTGAAATTCGACAGCCTTTTATCGTTTACTAATTTAAATAATGCATCTAAATTTCAAACAGATTGGAGGATGACTTTTGTCTTTAGATCGTTCACAGAGTTCGACAAAGTGAAACAATGGCCATAACTTTACACGTAGATGTAATTAACGGAAATTGACGAAATTCAATAGACTTTTTTGTTTCACTAACTCAAATGATGCATATAAATTTCATACAGATCATATGATGATTTTTGTCGTTAGAGTATTCACAAGGTTCAACAAAGTGAGACAAGTGCAATAACTCTAGACATAATTAACAGAAATTGCTGAAATTCCATAGGCTTCTTCGTTTCGTTAATTTAAATAATGCATACAAATTTCATACAGATCAGAAGATTAACTTTCGTCTTTAGAGCGTTCCAGGGTTTGAAAAAGTGAAACAATGGCCATAACTCCAGATGTAATTAATA